TGCTTTTTGGGGTGCCTGGAAACACCGTGGGAGGCGCTGGCAGCAGCAGCAGTAGAAACACATGCTGCTGCTGCTGCTGCTGCTGCAGCAGCAAAGCTGCGGGGGAGGTTGTCTAGAGACAACACAACGTCTCCAACTCGGCCTTCCTGCGCGAGCAGCTCGTATGCCTCTGCTGCTGCTGCTGCTGCTGCTGCTGCATCTTGCTGCGACAGCCGCAGCACAGCAGCAGGGGCATGCGGGGCCCAGCCCTTCTGCAGCAGCTGCTCGCCCTTGCTGCACCATTCAGACAGGCTTTCTGCTGCTTCTGCTGCTCCGACAGTCTGCTGCTCCTGCTGCTGCTGCTGCTGCTGCTGCTGCTTCAAGAGAGACAAGGGCGAGACGGAGGCGCAGTGGACGTCCGGGCGTTGCTGCTGCAGCTGCTGCTGCAGCAGCAAATCCTCAAAGCCCAGCTGCAGCAGCTGGCCCCCCAATGACAGCTGCTGCAGCGGCAGCTGAGCTGGGGCAACAGAGTGTGTGTACACCATAACCTCCACCTCGTCCTGCAGCACCTGCTGCTGCTGCTGCTGCTGCTGCTGCTGCTGCTGCTGCTGATTGGCTGCTGGCTGGAGCATGAGGAGTTCCTGGACTCCGAGTTGCTGCAGCAGCTGCTGCTGCTGCACCGACCTGCAGGCAGCAGCAACTGCTGCGCCCTTGGCGACGCAGTGCTGCAGCAGCAGCAGCCCCGCTCCTGCTGCTGCGCCGTCGATGTACAGCCGCAGCTGCGGAGTCACCGCCACTCCTGCTGCTTCCAGCTGCTGCAGCAGCTGCTGCAGCAGCACCAAACTTAGCTGCAAACTGCATGCAGCTTCAAAAGAAAAACTGGAGTAAATGGGAGCCAAAAGATTGGCGGGGCAAAGTGCATAGCTGCCTATACACCCCACAGCCACGCCGCAAACTGCAGTCCCCACCCTGAACTGCTGCTGCTGCTGCTGCTGCTGCTGCTGCTGCTGCTCCTGCTGCTGCTGCTGCTGCTGCAGAGCCGGCTCCAGGAAAGAGGGAGGGTGGCACACGATGCCCGCGAAGCGGAGCCCCAGAGAATCTGCAGCAGCAAAGGCCCAAAAAAACAGAGCAGCAGCAGCAGCAGCAAATAGCAGCAGCAAATAGTCTCAGCAAAATGCAGCAGCAAATGGCAGCAGCTGCAGCACACTGCGTTCGAGCTGCGCCGGGACGCTTCAGCAGCAGCAGCAGCTGCTGCTGCTGCTGCAACCGCCAGAGCGGGAACAGCAGCAGCAGCCCCATCACCGTCATTAGCAGCAGCAGCAACAGCCCCATCATGACCAGCAGCAGCAGCAGCGCCATTAGCAGCAGCCCCGCCATCATTAGCAGCACTAGCAACAGCAGCAGCACCGGCCACATCATCAGCAGCAGCACCAGCAGCAGCCACAGCCGCGAGAACAAGAGCAGCAGCAGCAGCAGCAGCAGCAGCATCATCACCATCATCACTATCATCATCATCATCATCATCATCATCATCAGCAGCAGCAGCAGCAGCAGCAGCAGCAGCAGCAGCAGCAGCAGCAGCAGCAGCAGCAGCAGCAGCAGCAGCAGCAGCAGCAGCATCATCATCATCATCATCATCATCATCATCAGCAGCAGCAGCAGCAGCAGCAGCAGCAGCAGCAGCAGCAGCAGCAGCAGCTCACGCGTGACCCCAGTTGGCTGCTGCAGAAGCTGCACAGCTTCCTGCTCGCCCAGAGCAGCAGCTAAAACGCGGACACAAATTAGGGGGGCCCCCAAGGGGGGCCCCCCCGAAAGGGTCTTGAGCATTTTGAATGGATTGAGTTTATAGTTTTGCTGCAGCTGCCGCTCCTGCTGCCGCTGCTCCGCCTGCTGCTGCTGCTGCTGCTGCTGCTGCAGCTGCTGCAGCAGCGCCTGAGACGCGTCCTGCAGCACAAACAAATGGGCCCAGCCCTCGCGCCTGTGCTGCAGCGAGGGGGCCCTGGGCGGCAGCGGCAGCGCGGAGCTTTGCTGCTGCACTTCGACATATCCTTTTGCTGCTGCTGCTGCTGCTGCTGCTGCTGCTGCTGCTGGTGCTGCTGGTGCTGCTGATGCAGGCATAGTTGCTGCGGAGCTCATGACGCGGAAGCACTGGGGCCATCCAGCTGCTGCTGCTGCTGCAAAGAGCCCTTGCAGCAACTCTGCTGCTGGCTGCTGCTGCTGCTGCTGCAGCAACTGCTGCTGCTGCTCATAAACTGCTACAGAAATGCGCAGGCGTCGTCTGCTGCTGCTGCAGAGGCTGGCTGCTGTCTCCACCAGCAGCTGCAGAAGCCCCTCAGCAGCCAGAGATGCTTCCCCGCAGCAGCACGTGCTGCACTTGCTGCTGCTGCTGCTGCTGCTGCTGCTGTCTGCGCGGCTGCTTCCCGCCTTTTCGCTGGGCAGTTGCAGCAGCAGCAGCACAGGAGGAAGGTGCTGCTGCTGCTCACCCAGCGTCTCTAGACTCTGCAAAAGCAGCAGCAGCAGA